ATATTAATATAGTTTAGATTGCCCCCACCGGAGAAGATGTCCGGCTCCGCCCCTGCATGTAATCTCAACGAGTACCAAATAAGCATGCCAGCTTGATACCCACCCAAGCACCGTATATTTTCTCCTCAATGTGGTCAGAACCAGAAACGGATTACCTCCCTACCGTTTAAAAATAGATACAAAACCCCCCTATGTTTCTATATCAAAATGAAATTGGTAACTCCATTAACAAAAACGCAAAAATGGCAATTCTACCCTCTTTAACATTGATCTTCACATCTCTCATAACCCCCTGGTGCTTGAATTGGAGAAAAAAAACGGATAGCAATGTGTTCAAACGTGCTTGAATTGAACCCAAGACTCGTGATAAATATAAGACTTTTACATCCACCTATTGAAGCCAACAATATAGAGAGAAGGAAAGAAGAGGATTTGAACAGAGAAGAGAATGAAGAGGGAAAGAAAGGAAAAGGGCGCTGGTAAACACAATTCGGATCCGAAACACAACCCCAGCAACTTCTTGTCATCTTCTGCACTGGTGACTGATTTCTAGAGAGAGAGGAGAAGCTTTTTTAGACTGGTGAACAAGATTCACTATTGCTTTTGTTGGAGAGTTTATTGCATGGCAGAACCAGTCCCATTCTCTCTTCATCCTAAACTGGTTTGAGTGGCATTTTGGTCATTTAGAAATAAAAAATTCGAGGAAATATATTTCAGCCACGCCTAGACCACTTTGGTCGAGCTTGTATGGCATTCCTGTCAATTTAGATGGAAAATCTAACATTCAAAAAAGTAGATGGGTTATGTATCTAATTTTTAAATGTTAGGGAATTAAACAAGGGTAAAAGATATTCAGGTTTATGTCTACTAATCCCTTGAACTCGGACCTAGTCCCAAAGATTTAAGTCTGTTTAAACCATTATGCTTATGCATAAAGTAACTTTATTGAAATCAACAGCAAGTTCATTGCATTATAGAGCCTCAGGTAATGTACATATACACTTCGGGCGAATATGGAAATTAACATTTTGCTGGAGTACTTTATAGTTTATACATATGAAGATAGTAAATTACATCTTTCTTTTTTTTTGGGAGGGGATGAGGTTTGAGCCTGTGACCATTTGGAGTAAGCCCACATGACCACTCCGTTATCTCAAACATCCTTGATATACAGTCAACATATAACTTCATCCCCAATTAACTAAGTAGTAAAATTATTTGATCTTCGATTCTGCTACCTGTTCCCACAAACAAATGATGAATAAAGAATCAGAACGTTTTAGAGATTCGTCGTGTGCCACTAAGGAGAAAAATATTTGAATTAGCAGTTCTTACTAAACAATCTTACAGACTAACAATCAGAGCTTCAGACATTTTACATAGTAGCTCCTATAATCCTCAAGAAGACAGTACCTGGCATGTAGAACTTCTTCCTCAGTTTTTGTATTTCATGGCTTCTTTCTCAAATCCAATAGTTGGGAACTGTTTTGCATACTCCTCCACCTCATGCCGGAGCTTTGTAGTCTCGGATTGGATGGGATCACTAGACTGCAACGTGGCCACAAAGTCCTTCAACTTTGTCCCTGGGTCACAGGAAAAACCAGCATGCTCCACAAGTCAGAAATTTTAGCACTATGCATGCTTGAGATTAACCATGCATATGGTCATTTGAATCAGAGAGTGCAAGTCTTCAAGTATAAGTGGAGTCTAAACAATCTCGACGCAGTGAGCATGATGAATTGTGCATGTTCCCAACACATTAACACATACAAAAAGATGGATGTTTCCAAGAAGTAAAAGGAGACAACACAAACGAGTCAAGATGTATAGAATATATGTATCCATGTGTATTGCGTGCTTGGGCAATGACATATGATCATGTTGGAACCTTTGGTTTCGGCTTTAATCTTTAAAGCTAACTTCACAGCAGCATCAAAGAATGCAGCAACTTTAGCAAAGTCCTCTTCGACAAATCCCCTTGAAGTGAGAGCAGGAGTTCCTGAGAGACAAGTTTGTCATGAGAGTCAGTTATAACATGACCAGACAAGCAAAAACTAATCAAGCAAGGAGCCTGTACCCATCCTGATGCCACCAGGAACCATGGCAGACACATCTCCAGGAACAGTGTTTTTGTTGGCTGCAATGTGAACAGCTTCCAACACCTTTTCAACCCTGGAACCATCAATACCCTGTAGAAAGAATAATCATAAATAAAAAGTGGCATCTTCCTCTTTCCAAGATAAAAGCTTAGTAGAAACACAACAATTAGATACCAATATTTTCTTTATGTATAATTAGCACAACTAACAGTCTTTAAACACAGCTAAATAGTAGAATATCTTTGTCAACTTTGTCAGAAACGGCCACCAAGCACTAGCTACCCATAAGGTTGGACAATATCTCAGACAGAATTTTGGAACATGAAGGTTACCAAGCTGTTCACTAGAGAATTTTCTTCATTTACCTTTCTTTTTAAATTCACCAAAACTAAGTGGTTCTCGGTTCCACCAGAAACAAGATCATAGCCCTTCTCAGTCAAAGTCTGCAAGATTGGTTAAATTTCAGCATTATGTAGCATATGAAGTGTAAATGTCAGACAATCTACAGCAATTTGAAGTATCATGCTGGCCGAAAAGTTCGCTTTCTGAACCACAAAAGATTGGTATGCACAAGATTGCTTCAGTTACAGGTCCCAAGATGTCATTGAATAATACCTGTGCAAACTTCGAGCAATTACCGAGGACTTGCTCTTGGTAGGCTTTGTATTCTGGGGTTGTTGCCTACAGTCACAAAAGTGTAAGAGAACATGCCCAAGAGACTTATGTCAGTTACTATTTGGACCAAACAATTCCAAGTAAAATGGCATGCTTTGCTTAGTAATTGCAATTATGGGTATGGAAAAGGATACAAAAGGATCTGAATCCTATGTGGGCGTGTAGAAAACATTTTCTTGCAGCCATTAAATGTAAGTCCTCTTAAATATTGCTCCAGTTACACCCTAGTATACTGCATAAATTTTATTTTTGATTTTTGGCTTGTGTAGATCTCTTTTAGATCCAAGAATATGTTCCTTGAATGTCAAAGCCGAATCGAAGAACTTAAAGCCTAGGTCAATTTTAACCTGCCAGAGTCTTGTATACTTACCATTTACAGAATGATCCATTCAAACTACTCAGATTATCAACCATCAACAAATTGGTTTGCCTGTAGATCAAACAATTTATATTTTCTAGTTTGAGTACTTCAAAGACCACTTGGCATCTCTGGTGACTTTTGTACCAAGAAAAGCTCATTCTAACAATTGGGCAAAGCCTGAATCTGATCCCCCCTATATAAATGCATTGAGTGGTTTTATATTCAAAATCTCACTTCGAAAATATTTCAAAGAAATGTCAACGTTAAACCTGCTTCAGTGCAACAGCTAAGCCAGTAATTGTGTGATTGTGCGGTCCACCTTGAAGTCCGGGAAAGACAGCCTGATTAATCTTGTCTTCATAATCATACATCACCTTCAAAAAAATTAAAGCATTAATGTTTGTTTTTATTTATACCAGATTACATCAACTAATGTTTGCCTGGAAGCAAAAAATGGAACTAATTTAAATGACAACGGCAGGGCAAGATGAGGCAAGGGTTAGCAATCATATAGTAATTGCTATTTGAAAACTCACCTCTTGGCCCTGTTTGTTAACCTCTTTCACGCCCTTCCTGAAGAAAATCATGGCACCACGTGGCCCACGAAGTGACTTGTGGGTTGTGGTGGTCACAACATCTGCGTACTCAAAGGGAGATGGGATGACATCAGCTGCAACCAGCCCACTAATGTGTGCCATATCTGCCAACATGATAGCTTTCTGCTTGTCACAAACCTACGAAATGCACAAAAAGTGTAAACTCGAAGCTTTTAGGATGTCAAGTGAAGTCAAATTAAGCTCTATTACAAGATATGTGAAACAAATTGATTGACAGAATAAATTAGCAGAGTTTACCTTACGAATACGTGCATAATCATAAAGACGTGCATAAGCACTGGCACCGGCAACTATTAATTTTGGTCTGAAGAGGGTGGCACTTTTCTCCATCTGCCATTTGATAGATTTCAAGTCACAAATGTGTTCAATAAAGAACCAGGCAGGGAGTAGTCGCCTTTTGTAACAAACTAAAACTATTTGGCTTCCAAATTGTCAACACAATGACTTGAATAATCCAGTGAGAACACAATTTGAAGGGGAAAAAGAGTCCATCAGCCCATTACCAATTTATACGATAGTAACAAATTATATCTACCACTTAAAGCCGGTGGTAGAACTTTTCCCTCCTTTTTAGTTTTTCATTTTCCTTCGGATTTATTTTGCCGGGGTTGGTTTTTGTATTTCCTTTGGTGGTGGGGGCGGGGCGGGGGCGGGGGTGGGGGGTGGGGAATTTCACGTGTGTTCAGTAAAAAGGCAAGATTCTATCATCAGGGGAATGGAACACATAGCATCAAGGTGGGTTGCTGGCATAGAAGTCCACTGAACAACTCACTCTTTGCTGCTGGATATACTGGTATACATGTACATATGCATTCATGCTTTTGAGTGGCCCTGGATCTTAACTCATTTTCAAAATCATCGCATTCAGTTCAATCTGCTATATTCCAACTTTGCAACAATGACCATAGTATGTCCAGGCATTTTAATAATGATTGTTGGTTTGGAACCGGTAAACAACCTCTACAAAAATGGGGGTAAGACTGCCTACCATTTATCTCTCCCAGAACCCACTATAGGCAAAAGTGTTGTGCATTGGGTATGACAAATTAAGAGATTATCATAATTTAAGGATCCCCCGAGGACTCATTTAGGAAGAAGAATCCAAAGTATAAAAGTTTTGAAGACATTGATCCATCTATCAACAAATGGAGCACCAGATGGCATGCATAAGTTTGCATACACTCTCAAACATTTTAGTGTATCACATTGTTCCACAACACTCTGATTATACACAGCACCATAACATAAAATTTTCAATTAGTTCTGCACCATCTGTTATACAGTGTATTTCCGCTAATATTTAATTTTAAACTTTTACTTATTTCACACAACTTGGATCACTCTCTACCCTGAATGTAGCCTTGTTTCTCAAATTCAGTAACCTTAGGAAAACGAGAAAAAATATACCAAAAAATAAACTTTCAATGATGATATTGATAACTATGATGAAGAAACTAGCAAATTGGGGAAACAGAAAAAAACATGATTATAAGAAAAAAGGAGAAAGCTACCTGGTCATAATCAATATAGCCAGTGCTCTCATTCAATCTATAGGGCATGGTCTCAAAAAATATGGAGACTGCAGATATCTTTTTTGTGTCAGTCTGTAGAAATAAAAGAAAGCATGAGCTCAATTTTACTACGACAAAATCAGAAGAGAATAACATCAAAAACAAATAAATTTTGTCAAGATGCATAGATTAACTACACTCATGAACCCATGGGAATATAATCAATATATATCTGTCTACACACTTGTTGCATCAACTACAAGTCACCCAAGAAAACTAACTTCCAGATATTTCAAATACACATGCAAAGCATCACCAAAGAGTTATTATTGCATTCTGAATTATGGAAGTAGAATCACTTTTCCATGATCTACTCTAGATTTTACAGGAGGCCTTAAAATATAGCTAATTTCAGTTCTCTTATTACCGTTGGTGTCTTCCTCACCCATTGAAATTGGCATCTTTGCAATGCTCTCTTTTAGTAGGAACCTTTATTTAAAGCTCACCAAGTTCATTGTATTTTCCCAAATGGAGAAATAAGTTACTTGAAGTCCTCTGAACAACTAGCCTCATTTTTATCTCTTTCTTCACTTCCAATGTTACAAGCACATTGAAGTTGTTAAGCCCTCCCAACCACACATACACAAGCCACCCCCCCCCCCCAAAAAAAAAAAAAAAAAAAAAAAAAAAAATTATGAAAGCCTGCATATACTACCCAGCCCAAGGACCTGTACCCTATTTAAGTAAAGTCAACCCCTGAAATTTTTTGAACTTTGCAGACGTCCCTTCACGTGATAACCTCCATGAAAGATATACCGGGCAAATCTCAAGATATGCTAATATGAGCTTAATCAATTGGAGTTTAATAGATCGTAAGTAACCGTACTGATACCATACCATATTTTGAGTCATCGTAATAAAAAAAAAAGGGATCCGTAACTAAAAAAGAAGTTACAACTGATGGGCTAATGCAGAGTAATCTTCCTCTTCTTTAACTTAAATGTCCAGGAGTTGCTTCTTTGTCGTGTTTAATTGACTAGAGGATTATTGTTATTAAGACTAGGGAGGAAGTGTTGGGTTCTTTTGAAGAGGAAGAAATAGAATACTCTTGAGAGGAGCAAGTGGAGATGCATGTTACATCCCCGATTGATGGGAAGCTTTTCTTTTAGCTCAAATAGGTAACAAGGTAGCATCAATTATGAACCAGTTGACCATTGAAATCCGAACTCATGAGCAATGTATAACGTGGAAAGTTGTTGTCATAGAAAGCTCTTCACAACAAGGCATGTTTCTTTTTCATTTTTGTATGTATCCTATGCATTACACGATTTATAATTTTTTCATGCTGATCTTCAATGTTGTGGTTGCTGAGGCCTTTTTATGACGACATACTGCAGCCTAGTGATCATTCTCATCCTAGCACGTTAGTCTAAATATTTTGATGCCTGGTAAATTGAAAGCTAAAGATTCAAAATAGTTTATTACATTGGCTCCAGTAAAAATAAGATCCAATCCTGGATGGCCATGTTTTGAGTATTTGGAATTTCACTGAAGCGCCATAATGCAGACACTCGTATATTTCACACTAGCAAAATCCTAGGGATCAAAAAATGAAGTTTCCTTCTAAGATTTCTGAGTAGAATGTATTTATAATCTCTGTTAAAGATAATCACACATGCATAACATTTTAATTGTTCTATTTTGACTGCAGCATTACTATTCAGAATGCGCTCCCGTCGAAGCTCAGTAGAGTTTTCATAACATATATAAGCAATGCTTGAAGTATAACATTTTATAGCTGATGACATAAAGCAAGCATATTATGCAAAAACCAAGATAACACTTGGCTGCATTGATATCCATGTAATTCAATGAAACTAACATCCAAAATCATCCCCATTTGAAACTATGAAGGTATAAATGTCCTGTACACCCTTGCACATTAAGTAACAGCATACTGTTCATGACCAAGAAGGAGGATAGCATGAACTATTTAGCAGGAAAAACACAATGGAAGGTGAAAGCACCTGATAGCCATGTGACAGATGCCCACCATGAGGAAGATCAAGTGCCATGATTCTGTCATGAGGCTTCAGTAGTGCAGTGTAAACTTGAAAATTAGCTGGAGATCCTGATAGAGGCTGCACATTGACTGCATCATAGAAGTTGATTAATTAGGCAGATATTCACTGGTAGAGGATCAAATATGTCCTCAATACGAGAAAACAAACCCTCTTCTTTTTTTATTTTTTTTTGCAGTTTACACATGTAAGCAGTTTGACTACACAATTCACATGATTACTTCTTAAGCACTGTCAATTGCCTGCCTCTTGCCTATCAATGTTATCAGTATTTACTCTCCATCATTGATGGATTTGGAAACATGGCATTGAAACTTCTGCAACATGTTGTATTTATAAAAGAAGGAAATTTTTTGCAAATGTTTCAGCATACACCAAAAGAATCTGCTTAAAAATATTGCATAGATAAAAAAAATGCAATTACCTCCCCACTTGGAAGGATCCAACCGAAATGCTTCCAAAGCACGTTTCTGGCACAAGGATTCTGCCATGTCAATGTACCTAAAAGCAGCATGTCAGTAAGGGGATGAACTACTTGCAAATGCTCTAAGGGAAAGAAAACTACTAAAAAAAGGGTAAAATTAGGAAAAGAACTAAAAGTATATGCTAATGCTGATGATATCAGCAGACATCACATAAAGCATAGAAAAGCGAAACAAAATCTGAGTGTAGTCCACATACTCATTTCCTCCATAGTATCTAGCACCCGGATATCCTTCACTGTATTTGTTAGTCATTATGGACCCAACTGCTTGCATCACAGAGACCGATGTGAAATTCTCCGAGGGAATTAGCTCAAGGCCCTATACAAACACAACGGAAAAAATCAAGATAAAATAACCAGTTCCAAGTTAAAATGCAACTTTATAATTCATACTCGGGAAATTTTCAATGGATGTGAGTACCTTCCATTGTCTGGCTTTCTCGAGCTCGATAATGTCAGAGATTTCAGGATCAACCAGCTCAAGCGGGGCATTCAACTGCTTTGGCCACTGCAATTAATTGACAATTCCACATTCAGAATTGACATATACACAAACATTGAATCAAAACAATCATAAAATTGAATGAATCACGCTGGGTGGGGTGAGGAAAGTGAAGAATTGTGTCGAACAATTGATAGGCTTACCGTGACACGCGACTTTTCCTTCTCGTACACAGCTTCGTTCGGCAAAGAAGACTACAACACAAAATCAAATGAATATGCAATCTTTAAAAACACAAACAACGGGATTTAAACTACAAAAATGAATCAGATAAATTGCTTATGGCTAACAACCATGTAATATAGAGAGCCGCCATTGTAAAGACGCTTGATTGGTTTGTTGACGGAAGATGAAAGCCTACGAAGCGCCGTCGCCATTGCCATCTGCACTCTCTCTCTCTCTCTCTCTCTTGGTCTGCAAATTTTGTGTGTTTGGTTTTTGGCTGAGATTTTGGTGGCTGCAGAAAATTGAATAATATTTCTGGTGCTTTTCAGTTGTTCGGATTATGTTATCTTTACTCTGAATTTCACCAACGACTGACATTAATTGGGTCCCCCCAACTCATAGAGGGAAAGAATACAACTGAATTTTGAAGGCAATTCCTTCTGTGCATATACTAACGCCCGAAATAAATAGTTTATTTGCACATTGAACCATAAGAAATAGTTTATTTGCACATTGAACCCCAAATTCAATTTAGACACACACAGGTGGTATCTATATATATATTTACGTGTGTGTGTGTGTGTGCTGTCATAGTTGGATTAGTACGGGGTTCACCACTGAATGCATTTCATTATCAGGGCAGAGGCAGAAATTTTTTTCTGGGTGTATTCTTTAATTACAAGATTTAGTTTTTTTTTCTTTTAATCGATAAAATAAAATAATACATTTATTATATCATATTGATACACTAGTCATAACCCGTGCCTTTAAAATATAAAATTCGAGCGTCCAAAAAATCGATCTCACTATATTAAATTTTTTCAAAATATATTAATTACAAATTAATTAAATATTAAATGATTAAATATATGATAAAAATGAGTGGTGTGATATTTTTAGAGAGGAAATATATAAATGATTAAATATGTGATAAAAATGAGTGATGTGATTTGACATTTGAATTTGACAAAGGGATGATGGGTGAGATAAGTAATTGGTGATAATTTTAAAAGGAAAAATATGACTGGAAAAAAATTCAAACACACTACTGTTTTATTATATAGATAAAAATTTACTAAACACAAAAGGCCCAAAAATCAATGATTTATTAAAGTCATCAAAGATATCTTTCAATATATGTAATCAATTTATCAATTATCCATTGATATTCATTCAATTATACAATTGAATTCTCTTAATCTTCATTTTAAATTTATCAAACAAAAGCGAGTAAGTTGTATTAAAAAAAAGATTAATTGTTGACTGGTTTCAAAAAATTTCATTTTTAAATTAAGAAAGTAAATTCAAAAAATTCATAAATATGTAATCAAAGTCAATTAAAGAAAGTCCCAAAACTATAAAACATACAAAATATAAAATTGTAGATAAATCGCAACTCACATTTTCATAAAATATTGTTAAAGATAGAAGTAATAAGATGGGCACAACAAAAAATTTGAATAATATTCAAACTTATATATCTCTATACATATAAAAAAGTTTCAAAAAAAAAGAAAAAAAGAAATTGAGGGTGAGCACTAGCCCCTTTCTAGCTCCGCCCATGTTCACTACGAAGACAAAGAACCATAATATATTGTGATTATTGGATTAGTGTTGAGTTCTACCATTTAATTCACTTTAGTATTAAATCTCTAAATTAGTTCTCAAATTAAAAACAAGGAATGACAATTTGTAACCTATAAGATCTTTCCATTCTTTATTTTCACTCTAAAAGATTGAAATTCACATATTGCACCTTCAATCAAACCAAAAAGGTAGCACGTGTTCCATTTAAAAAAATAATTGATGAGTAATAATTTTTTATTAAAAACACTTAAAATTGAGTATTATACAAACACATTCGCATAAAAATATGATAATATGAAAAATATAAGGCAAATTTGTCACAAAAGTCAACGAACATTATTTTCGACTATATTCCTACCTTTAATTTGATTGATAGTGAATTTGAAAATTTTAATTTTTTATGCTATAAATTGAGAATTTAAAAATATTTTAGCATGTAAAATATCATCCACCCTAAAAATAATACTAAATCGTTGCTTCAATTATCGCCAAGAACGGGTTTCCACTTAGGATAATTTTTTTGTTTTTCCATTTATGATAAGGAGATGGGGAAATTTTTGTACCATAGAGGTTTTCTTTTTGTTTCTTCATATTTGTATTTTGAACTCGTAATAAAAGTTAGCAAGAACATCAATTAGACATTTTACCCAACTCAGTAATATATCCAATGTTTTAATTCTTGAGAAAAAAACAAAATCAAAGATGAAGATGCTAACAATGAATAAACTTACTAGCCACATCCTAGGGAAATAATCAATAGTGGAAGAGAATTGCAGTTCTCTTCCAATATGTTTCCCTTTTTTAGTTCCTTTTATGATTTTTCTTTTCATTATCTTCAGTTGTGTGGTTTTGACGAATAGATAAAGTTATTCTATTGTGATTGAAATATTACTATTTGAGCTGCAAAAATAGGTTATATATTTATTGGAGTAGAGTTGCATTCATCTAATTATTCTTAAACTAGGAAACGGCAAGAGTCCTATAAATTAGATTGTCTTTTATTGTTGTACTCGTCAAATATGCCCTTTGTACATGAGAAAATAACATAAATGTAGTTGGTGTCTTGTTCGGGGCTTAATATGATAGATAAAATTGATGATGCATAAAGTTGATTATACATAATTAAATTAGGTGAATATGTTGTATAAATTAATTAATGAAACAATTAATAATAAGGGACAAAGATTGGGTAGTTGGGTTTAAGTGACCTAACCACCGAAGGCAACATCGGTGATCGGAGAACTCTATTAATAGAGAGTACAAGGTAATAAGAAAGAGAATAAGAGTACGCTTAATGTGAGGTGTATGTCCTCTAAACAAAAGATTTATAATTTATAGGCACAAAGTTCTAATTGTGGCGGTAACGTGAAAATCAAACTACTAATTTATCGAGGAAAATAACAACAATTAGGGATAGACACTATTTTTGAGTAATGACTATTTTGATAATTGCTCTCCATATGCGTTGACTTTCCCTAAATTCTTGAGTTTTAGATTGGATTGAGGTCATGAGCCATAAAAATTATAACTTTGGGCCGTAAAAGTAATAATATCACCCTAAAAATTGTAAAAAAGTTTGGATTAATTATAAATTGTATCTTAAAAGATAGTTTGAATCTCAATTTATACCCTTAAAGATAAAAAATTTTAATTTGTACCGTAAAAGATAAATTTTTTTTATCAATGTGGACCTGAAACTAACAGTCATTAGTTTGTCGTCTAAAACCAAATGAATAAATTACTCCTTAATTCCTCATGCTTGTAACTTAATCATGAGGAATTTAGATCTTCTCACATTTAGAATATTACTTATACACCTTCTAACGTTTGTGCACGTGCAACACATAACTTATTGTCGTTGATATCTGTTAATATAACCGTTAAAAAATATGATTTCATCATAATAAAAAAATATAATTTTCATACTACTTTTTATTTTGTAGGTCCGTTATACTCTAAAGTTCAAAATTAAGCTTACCATTTGAATGCAAGTATTTATATAGTATTCTTTATATCCAATGCAATACATCACTTAAACATAATTATTTGAATGCCCAATTGAAGAAACATTTTTAGTTATATTTAAATTCTAAAAGGATGTAGGTGTAATATTTTAAATGTAGGGGTCTAGGTGATTAAGTGACAAACATAAGAGTGTCTAGGTGTAATTGATCCATTTAGTTTTAGGCTGCAAATTGACAGTTGTTAACTTGAGGTGTACATTGATACATATTTCTATTTTTAAAGGTACAAATTAAAATTCAAACGATCTTTTTGGAGTCAATTTTATATTAATCCAAACATTTTTGTTGTAAACAAATCCAAAAACTTGTATTTTAGCCCACAAAACTTGTAAACTATAGAACAATATCGTGACTACATAGACTTAAATAGTTATATTGGATCCTTGGGAACCATCACAAATACAGCTCGCCTACATTTGAACGATACTACAAATTTGTTTCAATAATACTACACTAACAAAATTTTGAGATTAAATCAAGAGCCCAAATGATATGATAGCTGACTTGGACTTTTTTATGTGGCATCATGTCATTTGGGTCCTAATAAAGATTCCAAATACACAAATGTTATGTCATTTGAGCTCTTGATTTGGTCCCAAAATTTAGTTAACGTAGCATTACTCATTTTTTTTTTTGATAATGTAGTTTTCTCTATTCAAGAAACATCAAATTATTAATGCTGCTTATATGTCGGAGCAGAATCAATTCCCACAAATTCAAGATGTAACCACTCAACTAAACCCAATCCATCCCAGAGTAACAACCTTACTTGTTAGAGGGTCATTGAAGTTCCTAATGGGTTAATCAATTATTGCTATAATATATACATGCTAGTTAATTGTAGTTCTTTGCTTGATCCCAAATAATGACAATGCGACTAATATGGCCAATCGAGATCCTTTATATGAACCAAGACTTAATTAGGGTTGACAATGGATCTCTCTCTCTTTTTTTTTTTTAAAGGAGGAGAATGGTGCATCTACAATTTATTAGATCACCCTTGTAACGGAGAAATACTGTGGTTACATATCGACAAAGCCAAAAAAAAAAAAAAACCCACACAAATTAGCACATATCATAACAATTAGAGCCTCATACTAGGCACCCAAGCTTATCCAACCGTAAAATACCTCTTAAGTTGTCAAGGCATGTGCACACTACTCAAGTACTTGGTTATCTCTCCTGCCGAGCCCTGCCTTGCCAAATAATTCGCCACTTGATTTTCCTCCCTATATTGATGTTGAATAGTGGAATTAATATGCTGAGCTCATTCATCAACTCATCCCCATAGATATCAAACCGTACACGTATGAGAGGATATCCATGAAACTACAAGGGAAGAGTCACATTCAATATCAATGTAGTTATAACCCATCTCTCTGCACAAAGAAATACCAAAATTACTGCTCTAAGTTCCATTTTATTGTTCGTTCCTTCCCCAAAAACAATCGAAAATGTTAGTTGGACATTACCCAACGAATCCCTAATCACCCCCTCCTCCACATTGGCTAGGATTACCCAAACAACTGCCATCAACATTTAACTTACACTCTACTATCAAGTGGTTCCTCCAACTGATGAGATATTTCTAAAATACTCCAAGATGAAGACACGTGCTCTTGATGTCACTAAATTCTTGTTACTGTGATCACGACACGTACCCATCGGTTCACAAGTCCCTCTCCCCCG